CCTTCGGAATCACGGACAAGACTGTGGCAGTACACCTCCTTGAATGGGATCTCGCCAGTCAGCTTCAATCCGAGCATAATCATTCGGGCAATCCAGAAGAAGAGAATATCCCATCCAGTTTCCAGAACGGAGGTGGGGTATAAATTCTGCAGGTCGTGAGTCTGGTTGGGCCAACCCAGTGTGCTGAATGGCCAAAGCCCGGACGAGAACCAGGCTGTGGGGGGGGGGAGGGGTTAGCGTTACGGAGAAAGAGAAAGATGTCTCACAACTTACTGTCAAGAACGTCCTCATCTCGCTCGAGGGTAAAAGTCTTTCCAGGCAAGGCAGCCTTGGCCTTCTCCTGGGCCTCCTGCTCGGTGCGGCCAGCAAACCACAGCTTCTCCTCAGGAATGTCTCCAGCACCACCTTCAACCTTGGCAAAGTAGACGGGGCACTGGTGTCCCCACCACAGCTGTCGGCTGATACACCAGTCGTTGATATCCTCAAGCCAGCGATAGTAGCTCTTCTCGGCCGACTCAGGTCGGATCTTGATCTTTCCGTCCTTGACGACCTGGAGGGCCGGCGCGGCCAGGTCCTTCATTCGGACCCACCATTGAGGCTTCATGATGGGCTCAATGATATCCTTGGACTTCTCGCACAGGGGAACCTTCATGGCGTTGTCCTTTTTGTCTACGTACAGACCCTTGGCCTTCAGGTCGTCCTGAATAGTGTATCGAACGTCAAATCGCTTCTGGCCCTTGTAAGGACCAGCGTTCTCGTTCAATAGCCCGTCGTCAGTGAGGATGTTGATGAACTCAAGCTTGTGCTTCTGGCCCAGGTTGAAATCATTGGGGTCATGGGCAGGGGTAAGCTTAACGGCACCAGTTCCAAACTCCATGTCGACATACTCGTCGGCAATGATGGGAAGCTTTCGGCCCTCAATAAAGGGGTGGACTGCGGTCTTGCCGACAAGGTGCGTGTATCGCTCATCCTTAGGGTGGACAGCAATTCCAGTATCGCCCAGCATGGTCTCGATACGGGTGGTGGCCACTTCGACAGTCTCGTCGGATCCTTCCACGGCATACTTGAAGTGGACAATAACGCCGAACTCGACCTTCTTTTCGTAGCCGGGGACTTCGAGGAGAGTGCGTCCAGTCAACTCCTTGTTGACAACCTCCAGGTTAGAGAGGGCAGTGTTGAGCTTCGTGCACCAGTTAACGAGGCGGTTGGCTCGGTAGATGGTGCCCTCCTCGTGGAGCTTAACCCAAGTCTCGGTGACAGCCGCAGAGAGGTTGGCGTCCATGGTGAAAGCTGCGCCTGGTAAGTATCTTCGCAGACCACTAGGAATTACAGGACGTACCTTCTCGGGTCCAATCGAAGGATCCTCCCATGCTAGTCAGGGCCTTGTTGATGCGCTTGTGGTACACGTCCTTCCATTCCCAGACGGTCTCGATGAATTTGGCGCGGCCAAGATCGTGTCGAGTCTTTCCCTCGCGTCTCCACAGCATGTTCTCGACGACACTCTGGGTGGAAATACCAGCGTGATCGCAGCCAGGGAGCCAGAGAGTGGTCTTGCCCTGCATTCGGCTCCATCGGACCATAAGATCTTGCAGAGAGTCACCGAGAGCATGGCCCATGTGCAGAGCGCCGGTGACGTTGGGAGGAGGGTGGACGATGACGAAGCTTCCCGCATCCTTGACAGTGCCGTCGGGTTTGAACTCAGGCTTGAATAGGCCTTCCTTCTCCCACCAGCTGTACCAGGCCGATTCGACGGCAACAGGGTTGTAGGCCTTGAAATGGGGGTCGTCGAACGATCGGATGCGCTTCTTTTCGCCTTCGGGGGTATCTTCGACGTACTCGGGCAGGGGCTCCTCCTCGGGCTTCTTCTCCTTAACCTTCTTCTCCTTGACGGGCTTGGGGGCACTCGTGGCCTTGGCCTTCTTTGCCTCGAACTTGGCCTGCTTTTCGGCCTTCTTTCGCTCCTTTTCCACTGTATGGCTTGGTCAGCCGACTTTCATTCGAGTGATCGAGGTCATGATTGACGGTGGGAACGTACACTCCTTTGCGGACTTCACCTTGGGCGCAACGCCAGCTTCAGTCGCAGCACCAGCAGCCGCAACAGCCGGGGTAGTGCTAGCAGGCTGCTCATGGCCCTCGCCAGCAGCAACTACGCAGGCACAGTCATTAGCAATGCAATCGGTACAAGGTAAGCGCTTTTCAATGCTTACTTGGGTCTCCTCGGCCAGTGTTGGTCGCCATAGTAACTCGCGTGGTTGTAAAGGGTCGTCGTAAAGGTGATACTGACCGCACCCGGAGTGCTCGTACCGCGAGTCGAAACGTCGTGCCGGAGATGTCTGTATGAAGCCCGGGAGATTAGGGCTTCAGACTGGTTCCTACGCGAAAATCGGTTTAAGAACCAACAAATGTGACTCAGCGTTGTCTCGATTACTAGAAGCGAGTCACCCACAAAATTGAGTCACGGGCATTGGCATCGAGTAGTGGTTGTGCATGGTGGGATGAGGGGAGGGGCAAGGCATTTGTGGCGGTGCACTAGCCTTGTGGGGCAAGTGACTGAAAGATTGCACCACACACCTAAACCGCCCAGTCCCACCCATTTCTCAAGCATCAAACAGAAGGCTATTGCCACTGAAGCAGATTGTCAGATAAATTAACTATAAAGAAAATCAAATTTGAATCAAGGCATAATCTAATTTAGGCTCTCCACATCCCAGGTGCTTTGATAAGTAAGATCAGTATCTTAAGCATTCTTAAGGCTGGGGTCTGATCTTGGTGTGCAGTGTATTCTATCAGGCGCCTGTGGGGCTGGAGGGTGAGGTGGAGGGGCAGCTTCAGCCACACGGAAAGAGCCACAGCTGGGAAGCCTCGGCCAGAAATGGTGATGTTTTTGAAGGCACCAAGCTCAAGGGCGAACTTGTCTTTTCAAGCTGTTTTTCAAGTTTTCGAGGCCTTTCTACCTCTTTCCCCCGTGCACACATCTCTGCTCAGCCTCCACAAGCTCACATTTCGCCCTCTCTACCCAAGGTCATATGACGCCGTCTTGATGGCACTTCGCTTGGCATGCCAAGCTTCAAGGAGCCGGACCTGTAGCAGTATCGCGGCAGGCGGTCGCAGAGCGTATTCGACCAGAAATGAGCTTCTCTCCTTCTCTGTCGAATTGGGTGCCAAAGAAAAGGTATATGTTGCCAGATCAAAGAGTTCGTTTTCCACAGCCCGCTAATCTCGCTACAGGACCTGTCCTCGGTGCTTCAAGGGATCAAAAAGCAAATCGACCTGGCTAATCCCAATCGCCATGACGCAGCTGTCATTCTCGCGACACCTCAGTATGCAAAACTACTAGAAGACGAGACTTTTATGGAGGAATTTGTCGGTTTCATGTCGGGCTCTGAGAAGCTGAAGCAGTTCCATGTATTAGGTGCAGTGGTTGATCATGTTGCTCCTCCGGTGCCCAACAACAAACCCCTACAAGGCTTTTCCATCCTGCGTGGCCGCCTTGACTCCATTCTGCCAGATCTATGGATACCAGCCCCTCCCAAGGCTATCGAAGACGTGGACAAAGTTGCAGCTCTCACGATCGACTTTGGCAATCCTCAGTTAACCCTCCCGTTGGCCAACACCACCTTCCTGAACCACCGGACCTCTACCTTACTAGCAAGCCGATTCGACGTCGGCCAAGGATCTCCTCGCCTCAGCGAGCGAATCGAGAAGCACTGGCAACAAATATCCCTGCTGCTTGAGGAGCAGTTGCAATCCGTCAAGGATCTAGGTCTTTGGGCGCCCTTGGTTCCCCTAACTCACTCACGCGTGGTGACGGAAAGCTTCGGCAACATCGTTCGGCGGGTGAATCTGAATAACGAATCTACTCCTGCATCTAATGAGCTGGAACCTGCTGTCGACGAGCTCCATAACCGAAAATCTTACCTAGTCAAACAGTCTACCATGGGGGTGTGGGCGATGATCATGCCGCCAGTATACTCACAATCCGGCAACATCTCGAGCGAACGCGATCCAGATCCAGCAGCGACATATGACGAGAACCACTCTGCGACAGACCTAATGTCAGCAACTTCCAGTCGCATTCGAGAACTCTACGGGCAAGGCGGCCGCCTATACCAGATATGTTTGTAATATGTCCATCAGCTATAAAGAGAAGGCTCTAACGCAGGTACACAGTGAGCGGCGGCGGTGGCTGGGGTGTGAAAAAGGGCTTACTATCACTTGACCCTCAGCGAACCCACTTCTCTTTGTCGGAAGAGGAGGAAATGCAAAGATTCATCCAAGCAATGGACGGCGGCAACTTCGTTCCCGTCGGCTCCAAGATCCAGTTCTTTGCCTCGACTGAAGTACCTGCGAAGCCGACGAATGAAGCTTTCTCTGGAGTCGTTTTCGGTACGGCTGGTGCCACTCCTGCTTCCACAGAAGAACTTCCCGAAACAGGCTTGGCTGTCACTAATAACATTTTTGGTGCGCTGTCAAACGAGGGTATCTTCGTTACCTCGTCGGATGCTGCGGCCGAAACAACACCGGGATTCAACAACGACTGGAGACTCAATGTACCACACTCCCGAATATTTGTTAAGAGGAGGGAATAGCTGCCGGGTGTGACCTGTTTCTAGAACGAGCCCCGGATAGGTGTGGTCTGGCGGTTCCGTATGTGTACGAGATGATGTATAATACTCCCCTGAATTATGGACTCGGCGTATTCTCTCAACAGAGAATGTTGGCTCATCACTTGGGTCTAAGTGATGCCAGGTCTGCACCGGTACATCTTTTTGTTTTCCTCGCAATGCCTCCACCATCCAATCCTGTCACGAAGTTTGAGCTGCTCTTCTCTATGATATTCATCGACTACTTTATCATTGGCTGGATCCATGGCGGGTACCCCTAATGCCCCAGGGGGCATACTGTGTAGTAGGCGGGAGTGGGCTCGAGTGGGGATCCTGGTCGGCCTTACGGCTCCAGGTGCATATACTTATTCTGGACGCTTCGAATCATAAGCATCTGGTGAGATGGCCGAGTTGGTTATGGCGTCAGGTTAAGGTCATCTTAACACCTCAATTCCTGGTGGAGCAATCCTCCTGGGTTCGAATCCCAGTCTCATCAAAGTCATTTTTTGGCCGTCCTTGACAACTTCCATTTGTATACTGCCTTTTTTTGGTGCGGCTGTTGACTTTTGTTGGAGATTTGCAGAGTTTTTACTTTGAAACGAAGCGACCAATGACCATGGTAGATGACGAGAATGTGGGTGGTGTGACCCTAAATCGGGAATTCACCGCAAGAAAAGGCATGGATGAACCTCAATCATACCTAGAGTATCGGCCGAGTCGGAACTCGGGCCAACCGTTGCGTGACCGAAATGAACCGAACTCGACAGCCGCACACCTTGCATCGCCGATGACAGAAAGCCAACCATCTGACAGATGGTTAGTGGCCGAGGCCTCAACTGCTTGCAAGTTGCAACCCTCCAACATGGCGCCGATCGACGTCACTCGTCCAGGGTTGGAGAGGTGGGCAACCAGAAAACCAGATTTGACCCTCGCGGGGTATGCACAATCGCCCCAGGATTGCATAATGACGATTAGAGACAGCGTTTTATCTTAACACACAGCCTCGCGCGTAAAAAGGACTCCGAATAGATATCCATTTGCACTCGATTTGTGGTTCAAGTCCTTGACCCTGAATTTGCATCATATCTGACCTCTCTGGCGATCTTGAAATAGGTTTTTCCCAATCATGACACCTAAGGAGATCAAATCAGAACCCAAAGTTCCTCGATCGGAGGCCATGGGACAGAAGCGACCGAATACCCTGCCGGTTCCCGCTCGTCGAAAAGTCCGAAGGCCGACCGAGATTGTCACTTCAGAAGGGACGTACATACCCTCTGACAACGACGCCGAAGGTCCCGTGTTATCCGACGACGATGATGTCGAGAGCATCGATCTGTCAGAGGATGAGAGTGATGGAAGCGAAGAAGAAGACGAAGACGAAAACAATGATGACGATGATGATGACGATGATGACGACGATAGCGAGGATGACGATAGCGATGATACAGATAGCGTTTACCTTTCGGACTCGGACGAACTTGAAGAGATAAACACTGGCATAGTTTCTCAAATACCAGCAAGAGCCATACGATCAAGGTCATCGAGGAATACATCAACCTCTGCTCGGCCCGGAAACCAAAACGTGTTACAATCTAATTCCACGTTGATCCAGACTCAAACAGAGACCACCCACTGGATGGTGACGCAACGACAAACACACCAAGCGTCGTCTCAAGCCGCCACGATAACTCGTGGAGGTACCTCAACCACCCGACAACAAATTATACATCGGCAATCCCCAAGGCCCAGCACCGTGGCAGGACAGGGGAGGGACCTTTCGCGGGGGAATAGCTTGAGGCTAAATATGAGCTTGAATGTCGACATACAGTTCAGTGGACTCGTGACGGGTCGAAATATATCCATGGCTGGTGTAAGTAGGCCCAGTGTCTAACCATGGAGAAGCCAGCTGATCAGACTTAAGGGCCAACTTTCGTATTCCTGGATAGGGAGCCGTCGTGATGGCTCAAGGTAGTGGAGCCGATAAGATTCACAACGCATTAGACAAAGGCTCGAAGATTGCGAACAATGGGCCGAGTTAATAGTTGTTAAAGCTTGAAAGTTGCCATATTCAGCTGGCGGATGCGCTTATCATTCTGGTGATATACATAGTTGAACTTGGACAAGGCATTCACTCAATCATGTCGATGTCGTCCACGGGCACCTGGGCCTGGGCCGGGGCCGCTGCCGTGCTGGATACTTCTGGAGCCGCCAAGCTACCACCAAAGTAGTCCTCCATCTCGGCATCAAGCTCCTCCTGCGTTTTCTTTCCACGAGGGTTGTTGCGTCCTCCACGTCCACTATCATGATCTCTGCCGCCTTCTCGGTTGTCTCGACCATCCCGGTTGTCTCTGTTATCTCGGTTGTCTCGGCGCGCACCTGGGCGACGACCACCACGCTGTCTTCGAGGCATTGGGCTCCTCGAGCGGCTGCCCTGGCCAGGAACGTATCTGTCAATGCCCTTGCGGGAAGCGTCCTCATCGTCGAATCGTCGATGAGGGGATAGAGATCGAGCCCTGTCTCCAGGGGTCGATATCCGCTCCGCCAAAGGGCGACCAGGCATAACAGCCGTGTCGAAAGGGTTCCGGGTTGGCAACAAGGTCAACCGAATGGGTTGTCCTAGACCAGGTTCAGTTGATGGAGGCCCTGCGTGGAATTTCGGGTGACTTACCGTTGGCATTCGCACCATCAAACTGCTTGACCGCCTCTTCAGCGTCCTCCTTGAGTTCATAAGTTACATATGCTGTGCCCTCGGATCGGCCAGCGCGATCGTAGCGTAGCTGAAGTCGGACGACTGGACCGATTCTCTTGAATAGCTCCTGGAACTCGAGTGAGTAAAGGTATTGCACGGATGTCTGGATGGTCGAAACGTACATCTAGGTCATCCTCGGTGAGATCGTAGTGGATGTTGTCCACGCGGATCTTTGATCCCTTGGAATCACTAGAAGAGAAAACGTTAGAACGTCGAGTCTGGATTTGGGGGATTGGAAATAGCATACTGTTCAGGTGAATCGCGACGACGGCGCGGAGCAGCAGGGCCTCTGCGAGAGTCTGGAGACATGTGAGACTCAGGGCAAACAAAGTAGACAGTAGGAAGTATTACTGTTTTCCTCGTATCGGTCATGGACCCATTCACTGCATCGAATTAGGGAGCGGTCGGGGAAGTCTTTGGGTGATGACGAACCTGTCGAGATTTCGGGAATCGTCTCGGAAAGACTGTTGGAGGGAGGGATGCTCTGGTCAGCCACGAATTTCAGAGTGTCAAGCCGTCTTCAACAGCCAAAAGCTCCGAGCATCGATCAATGAACAGCGAGGAAGGCTGGTGAGGTCGAGTGGGCATCATCAGAAGATGGGCGGGAGGGAGGATTTATCAACCTGGCGCACCGATGTCAGCCCTAGAGTCTAGAGTACCTAGGCAGCGCGACCAAGGGAAAAAGAGACTGACCTTTTTCACCCCATCACGGGGGTAGTCCTGGCGAGGCTCACGGCGACGACCTCCGCCACGGCGGTTGCGAGGTCCATTGTTGCTGCGCTGGCGAGGAGTCAGTCAAAGTTGGGAAAAGGTTGCGCGCGAGCATGGCATCGGCGCGAGAGCGGAGCAAGACGTACGCTGTCGGCGATGATGTCGTCGAGTCCGCGATCCATTTTGTCAACCATTGCGGCGAATATAGTGAATAGAAAGGCCCCGGCGTTGGTTGAGGATCCTAGACTTGGAGATTGCTGCGTAAATGTGAGAGTCGACCGAGAAAGTTGCGACTTGGGCGAGAAGAAGGCAGGGACAGGACGCGCTGGGTGGCTACTGGCTTCCGGGGTTGGGGCGGTCGGAGAAGGTACGGTACGTTCCGCTGGCTTTCCAGCCACAGTTTCCAGGGTTCGATAGAGGCTGAGCCGCCGTTACCAGGTACGAATCGAGGCATAAGGCGGCGTGGGGAAGTGGGGGCATCCTAACATCCCCAATTCCAGGTGCAGCTGCAACAAATCACGGCTAATCCTTGCAGTGCAGAATGGGATGGATGAAGGAAGACTTCACTCTCGGAATTGTTGAAAAGATAGCGGGAATAACCAATTAACTACACAGAAGCGCGTCTAGTAGAAGTGCCACGGGTGCAATGTAGACTTAACTTGCAGTTTCACACCGACACCCTTTTCCAAGCGCAACGCACGTGCTACCTCGACTGAGTCGACCCCAAACATTGTGGCGTCTCGGTCCGTGGTTTCTCCGACTGGTGCGCACCACTAAGCCTCTTCGGGTTCTCCAATTCAACTCTAAGCTGTCCTCCTCGAGGCGAGTCGTGCCCCCATCCCCTAGTTGGCTTGTCTGGCAGCCCGGCGCCCAAGACAGACAATTCAACCCGTCGTACTACTGATATTGTTCCTTCAGCGTGTCGGATCATCGCGAATCAGCTCGTCTTCTTTTTTTCATTCTACATACTTCTCCAGGTGCCCCCTCAAATCCTCCAGAATCCCCACCCTCTTGCGTTGCGCGTGCGCTACGCTTCTCGACTCTCTCGCATTCCATTCAGCTTGATGCCAGCGTCCAGCTCCAGATAGTCAGTCGGTGTCCTCGCCCGTCGTCGATCGCCTCGCTTCATCTCGCCTTTGTTGCGTAATACCACACCCTGACGGCACCCATGGCTCGACCCATGGGGTCAGTCCGTCTTAAGAAGGCGAATCCTTTGACTCTCGCCCTTGGCGTTCTTCTTTGCGTCTTCATCGTTGTCTTCCTCGTCGCACCGTCTGGCTCGTCGACCACCTCGCGCCGGCTCGATCCGGTTACCGCTCAACACCACCTTTCGCCGCCTACATCACCATACCGAAAGCCCAGCTCGCGTTCTGGCATCCAGCTGAAGCCCCCGCCTGTAGCCCATTACAATCTGAACAATGTCACCATCACCACATCGCCCATCGAGAATCGGGAAAACGTCTTGATCCTGACTCCCATGGCTAGGTTCTACCAGGGCTACTGGGATAACCTCTTGAAACTGAGCTATCCCCACGAGCTCATTACGCTCGGTTTTATTCTCCCCAAAACCAAGGAGGGTAACCAAGCCACGACCGAGCTACAGGATCGCATACACAAGACTCAGAAGCACGGCCCGGACCAGGAGCGCTTCAAGAGCATCATCATTCTGCGACAGGATTTCGAGCCGGCCTTGCAGTCTCAGGATGAAAGCGAGCGACACAAAATGCAGAACCAGAAAGCCAGACGAGAAGTCATGGCCAAGGCCCGCAACTCCCTTCTCTTCACCACACTTGGACCCGACACATCATGGGTCCTATGGCTCGACTCGGACATTATCGAGACACCGCCCGACCTGATCCAGGACCTTGCCGCCTTCGACAAGCCCCTCATCGTTCCCAATTGCTTCCAGCGGTACTACGACGACGAGCACCAACGAATGGCAGAGCGACCGTACGATTTTAACAGCTGGCAGGACAGCCCAACGGCACTAGAGTTGGCTTCTAAGATGGGCCCCGATGATATTCTCCTCGAGGGCT